CCCTCACCCATTACAAGCAAAACCAGTGTTAGCTTGATTTGGGCTGAGAACCACACCAGAACTGAATCCTCACAGAGCATGAGTGCCTACCTCTCAGCTAAGCCTGCACCACCTTGCCATCTGGGAGAAAGCTCCCATCATCTCTGAGTCAGAAGTAGCAGAGCAAGAACATGGTACTCCTGAAGGGGAGGATTATATTAGGGTATGAGGTCACTTATCATTATCGTGAGAACCTCTGTTGTAGGTTCCATAAAGATTATCTGCTTTGCAGGTGCGCTCTTACTGTACAGGTAAGAAACTGCAGCCTTTGTGCAAATAGAAGGAAAACTGGTGACCCCAAAGCATTTCAGCAAGTGACAATAAATTTAATGTTCAATCTGCATTGCGGAAAGATGCCAGTGATGCACAGGATGCTGTGGTAAGGGGTGGCTACAGCATTGCGTCACCCCTGCTTTGTACAGTCCTGGGGCTCTGAACCCTTTGCCAGCGTCCGCCTTGCCCGAACTGAACCTGGCTCCGGGTGCAGACTCAGCACTTGCTGTCACAGTATTCCTTGCCATATGACATGAATGAACACATGGCCAGCTTGCTACCTAAACACGAATTCAGAAAGACAGATAAGCAACGAAATTCTTGCTTACATCTAGAACATCTGACATACAATTCAGATTCTTTGCAACAAACGTTCAGCTTCTGTATGCACTGTAAAAATCTGTTTCTGATACTGATGAGATGTACCGGTGAGTTTTCTTGGTTCATTTTAGATGTCTTTTATTTTAATAACAGTACTTCTTTGGTATGATTTACTCAGATTTTTCTAACAGCTGCATAAGAAAGTACACCTCCAAAATGTGTGTTACCTACATTCTAATTTGGGGGTTATCGAATGAGAGACTCTTTTACACCTGAGATGCAAGCAAAATGTGCCTCATTAATAAAACACACCATAATGGCTCCATTTGGCTTGTTAACTTTTCTGTTAGCCCTCCTTGAGAATTCTCTTCATGGATTATTAATACCACGGAACATTACGGTTCACATCGTATCAGTGCACACTAGGAACAAAAATGCATAAAACATAGACCCTGCTCTTGCAGCGGTACTCTGGTTCATCACATCACTAAAGAAGCTTGCCCAGATGCGCTGGACTCCATGGTCAAAAATCCTTTCATACCATGGCAGGAAGCAAGTCTCTCTGGAATTTAGGCTTTTGTTATAAAATTAAATGTGATGCAAGCAATAGTACGTAAGTCTGAGGAATGTGGTGATGCCTTACACAGAGAGCTATGTTCCCCTCTACATGTCAGCATAGAATCCTCCAAAAATTTTTAGTGTTTCACATATTTATTTTGGAGTTGATCATGACTATTTTGTCAGAATAGTATCTCGGACAGCCAGGTTGCCATCAAATTCTTGCATGAGCTTAATCAGGCCAAGCTGTGATATGAATTTATAACAGACAGTAATGAGGTCGAGCCTATTATTTCTGACTAGATCTCCAGGACTGAAGATGAACAACTTTGTGAACAACCCTACAAGATGCACCTTTCTCCTTCCTTTGCCTTTGCAGTGATTCCCTGCAAGGTTATACTGGCAACAATTTGTTTGAGCTATGGAGATATGGCACTGTTGGAAGCCAGATAATGTCTCAGGCTGCTATGATTACAAGAGGTACAGTATTTCTGAGATGCTCACTGAGGAACAGCAGCTTCTGCACATCCTAGTGCATGTCAGCATCCTAGTGCATCGCTCCTTCACTAACTACAGGCATCACTTGACCAAACAGCAGAGGAATGCAACAGTAGCTCCATCTCTAGCTCATCTCCATACAGGACATTAAATGTGAGGGCAGAAAGCACAAGCTGCAGCTTTCTAACTGCTTCCACAGTGCAGTGCATAAAATGTGAACGCAACTCTGCCATGCTGGTCTCATCTATCATGTCAGCACAGCTGGTGCCCAAAACACACACATAAACACTAACTTGGTAGCCCAAAACCAGAAAGTCTTTATAAAATGTATAAAATTACACATAGCTGTTAACAAAGAAAGAAATTAAATGCACTTGAAGTGATAGACAAAACTGTAAAATTGATGGTCCTTTATAGCAAGTTTTCTCTGTGTAAAAGAAACTCTTCAGAGTTGGAGAGCCACTTGCCCAGTTCATAAGTGACAAAGATTCTCTGCACAGGTCACACAGGAGCACAGCCGAGTGCTTGGGGGAAATGGGGGTCTGCTTTTTGTTCCTAGGGTTTTCTTAGTCCTCCCATAACATAAGCTAGCTCCCCCCAGAATGTGCAAGAGGACAATGTCAACTTGGAAGCCCAAAGAGTACTTATGGACAAACTAAAAAGAAAGACTATAAAAGATATGCTGGCATATCTTCACATTGCAGTAACAGTATTATCTCCATCTTCCCATATAACACAGAATCACAGAAGGGTTGAGGTTGGAAGGGACCTCTGGACAGCATCTGGTGTAACCCCTCTGATCAAGCAGGGCCAGCTAGAGCTGTGCACTGATACAATGTGAACATTATGGTTCACGTTGTATCAGTGCACAGTAGGACTGTGTCCAGTTGACTTCTGAATATCTCCAAGGATGGAGACTCCACAACCTCCCTGGGCAACCTGCGACAGTGATCAGTCACCCTCAGAGTGAAAAAGTGTTTCCTGATGTTCAGAGGTAACCTCCTGTGTTTCAGTTTGTGCTCATTGCCTCTGGTCCTGTCACTGGGCACCACTGAGAAGAGCCTGGCTCTGTCCTCTTTGCACCCTCCCTCCAGGTATTTACATACATTGATGAGATCCCCCTGAGTCTTCTCTTCTCCAGGCTGAACAGTCCCAGCTCTCTCAGGCTTTCCTCACGTAGGGGATGATCCAGTCCCTTAGTCATTTTTATGGCCCTTTGCTGGACTCTCTCCAGTAGCTCTATATCTCTCTTCAATGGGGAGCCCAGTTCCTCTGAATAGGACACTGTTCCCTTTGAAACCGCAATTCTAAGTGCCCATTATCAAGAATAAATTTATTTAATAATTAAACCACGGAACAATATTTCTCTCTAATTCACATCATGGCTTAAAAATTATTTTGTTCTATATGAGGAGAGACAACAAGCTCTTTAATCGGGAGAGCGTAAGGACTAGGTTATTTCTCAGTACCTCTACGTAACTCCTGATGCCCCTGGTTGATCATTACAATGCATGGTCGATACCCTGCACTGCACAGCTGACCTGATACGTCCTTTCCAGCTTGAACTTCCTTGGTTCTAAGATTAACCGCGCTCCTGATTCGAGAGGACCTGCGCCATGCAAATCAGCTTCTCTCGCTTCAGAAAGGAAGCACAGAAGAGGAAACACAGCGATTGCTTTCACAGTACATTAACTTTTCTCACAGTGCAGCAATTCAGATGCAGGGGTTAGGCCCGATTTAGATGTTAAAATAATGACACAAACAAGAGGAAACATCTTGAACCAGTAACACCCTTTTAAAGTTTTATGCCTTTGTGTGCGTATGTGCAGAAGTAGTTACTTCCCAAAATGATCTACATTTTCAAGCAAGTGATTACCTTCTGCCACAAAGTCTTTCATAGCGTTTCAGTGTCATTTAAACATTTCTTGCCCTTGTTTTTTACATTAAAAATAACTTCACAATGGCTGACGCTTGTCTTGACTAGTAGGTAAATTGTCACCCATATATCATAGCTGGAGGGTTCCTTAAGCCTTTTCTCTTGAAGGCAGATAAAAGGCTGAATTTGGCTATGTTATGTTATAGAGATGCATTGCTTGCATTCTTTACATGATTCAGATCAAAAGATTGCACCTGTGACTGAATTAGAGCTTTCTGATTGATGCTGTAGTTGCATGTGGAATTTTGCTACTCAAACAGCACCACTCTGTCCTTTACTTTTCTAAATGAGAGCATCTCTTCAAAAGCAGTGATGCTCCTGTTAGCCTGACACACTCTCATGTGTCATCAGAGACCCCTTCATAGCTTTGTGTCTTCTGATAAGTTTTAGGATACACTTTTAAGATGCTCAGAAATGCCCTGCCTACAGAATCTTCTTTAAAAAAAAAACAACAAACAAATAAATACTATATTATTATAATAACAATTTTATTACTATTTAAATATAACCTCCAAAAAGAAGATCTAGGGAAGGGTTGAGACAATGATCTGGCCTGAGAAAAACACTATAATGAAGACTTTGGGAGAAAGGTATAGTTTACCTCAAATAAGATGGTAACCAGTAACAAGTGTGTAAGTAATGAAAAGCACACAGAATATGCAATCTGGAACCCAAAGGAATACTCAGGTCCCTGAATAGGCAGCATTTCAAAACCAAGAGGATTAAATATTTTTGCAGAATGTGATTAGACAGTGGTCATAGTCCCTTGCCACAGGAAGTCGCTGAGGCTGAGAAAATAATATTGCTTACAAGCAAACAAAGCTAATTACAGTTATAATAATAATGCTACCATTTTTTGCCAGATATATGTTAACGTTTACAACTTGTAAGTCTTATGACAGGTCATTATTGGGGACCTACATGATAGTTCAAGGTAGATGTGATCAATCTCTAATCTTTTTACTACAGAAATCACTTACTTTCTCAGCAGCAATCTGGCAGGCAATAATCACGGATTAAGTGTCCCTGTTTTTTATCCAGTACGGCAGTCCCATGCATTACATTGCAGCCTCTTTTTTACCAAAAGACCATGAAAACTCTAGACATAATTCACTAAAAGACATGATTTCTTTCTATTTCAGGTTCTTTACCACTTTCTTTTTGGAAACAAATCTCGGAGATGCTCACCGATTTTGAAAATCAAGAGTCACCTCTTACTATAACCTTCTACTTCCCCCATAAAACACAACCAAAAAAACCCTCGTCTTCAACCCTCTAAATTACAGTGCTTACTCACTAATTTTTTTTCCTTTAAAAGACACAAATGAATTTATTTCATGATATCAGATATCTTCCCCCTCGCAAATCTTCTCTCCTCATGAGAGGGTATATTCTGGGCCTGACTGTTCTGTTTTACAAGTATATTGGACCAGGTTCATGTCCACAATTATTCTGAATGACTCTGAAATGCTGAAATGACACTTCTTTCACCAGATTTAAATATTCTTTCCAAAGGAATAAACTTACCCATCCAGACTTCTCCAAACTGACCAGCTCCAAGTTTCTTCACTAATTTAATTGATTCCCGTGGAATTTCCCACGCATCTTTATCCCATGGTTTTTGAGGCTTGGGGCTAATACAAGCTTTTTCCAACTTTCTGCATAAGCCATCTGGTTGCTCTGGTTTTCAAAGGAAAAACAAAATATAAAATCCATTACACTTCTGTGCCTCACAACTTGAGACAAACATTACTTAATTACAAGTGTGCACTAACCAGCTCAAAATAATTTTCAAAATAATCAGGTCTTTTGACAAAAACGTAACCTTTCTGGTGCTTTCATATAACTTTAAGCACCTCTGAACTGAAATTTTATATTCAGAGATAAATTTAATAACAAAGTGACACATGCATCTGGTTACCATCAGATTATTAAGGTTGTTTTTTAGTACAATTCATATGAGCTAAACAAAATACAAGATCTGCTTACTGACAGTATGCTGATGAAGATGCACATGCACACTGGAGTCAGGCTTGAAACCAGTATTCTAAATTTGTCATTAAATTTTCTTGTAGCGTTGTTTCAGATACATGTGCATGCAAGCATAAGTAGGTCACTTATTTTTTTTTCTCCAGACACTGACCAGCTACAACTTTAACATAAATGTAGAATAATTCTCAGCTTTTCCAGCTGTGACAAAGAATTATCACATGCCTGACAACTCAGAGAAGTATCATGGCCAAGACCTTAGCATGGCTTCGAAAAATCACTATGTGATTTTCTGTCCTACATTTATTGTCTTCTCTGTCTTGCCAGTTACAAGAGTAAAAACCACATATTTTGGAGCTATCCACCAGAAGGTAATGCAGAATGAAAAGTCACTTTTGTAGCTAAAATATAGGTAGGAACTTGTCCCTTCCCTCCTCCCTTTTTTTTTTTTTAATAATTATTGTATGCATTCTATGTGGATGCAATATTCTTTCTTTGAAGCCAACATACTCTAACTTCCTTCAAAACACCATTCACAATAAACAAACAAATACACAATTTTATAAGAAAAATAAAAACAATTCCACGCTCAACACTGCAAGAAGACATTCACAAGTCTATATGTATTTGTCCTAATTGTGAATATAAATTTACTTTCAAATATAGAATTTACATATTTACAATACAGTCAATTCTTACTGTAGTTTCACATCATCATAATTTGATGAGGTGCTTTATAAAGCTATTCTTTATTTCACAATGGTATGGCACAGAACAAGCAGCATTAGGTCTGATTGTAATAACAACGTGACTTGGGTTCCAACCAGTGTTCGGTTATCTTTGATAACATGCATGCCTAGGTTATTTAAGTGGAAAAAAAAAAAAGATGAAAAGGTTTGAAACAAAGCAAGAAAGCATTTATTTTCCTTCACAGGAAATAACGGCTGTATTCTATTAAGTAATCCACTAACTGATTTAACTTACTTTGATAATGTTTGATCATATCATTGATGTTGGGAAAAGTTATTCTTGGTGAGATGTAAAATCCTCCATTGTCTAGACTCCTAATTTTGTAGTGCTTAATAACATCGCCATGCTGTGGATCATAGTCTCTTATGGAGAGAGAATAGCTGCCTGTGGATAAAGAAAGAACGGTCATTAATAGATAGCAAAAGTCTACAGTGTCCACGCATATTCAGTTGAGCCTAACAAAATCACCTTTTTGCCCCTTTTTCTTTTTACTTCCTTATTTCCTCAAAAAGCATTTTGCAATCAACGTGAGGAAGTTAACCAATAGCCCGGTCCTGAACTGGTCACCAAAACGCTTACAGTCACACTTTCTTTTTCAATTTTATTCAACAAAAGTTAGAACTTCTATAAGCCAGTCAGCTCCGTGTCCAATGCCCACTTCTACAGAAAGCCCCCCGGCTTGACTGGAAGCAGCTGCGAAAGCAAGGCCAGGGCTGTCACACTCCTCAGGCAGAAGCTGAAATTTGGAGATCAGCGTTTCAGAAAAGGAACACGCTGGATGTTGTTGGCCATCTAGCAAAAGCATTGCTTGGAGATGGCTTGGGGTGCACAGGAGAGAGGGCATGTCTGTTAGTGCTAGGGAGCCTAACTTCAGCTGGGATTTCAGACGGGGCAGCAGAGCATCTGCCCTAAACTACAAAGTCATTCAGTCATTCGTTTCTTCTGCTTGTACAATTCTTCTTGTCTGTTTTCGAAGGATAAGAAACCACCTCACCCCCTCTTCTCTTCTCCCACCCAGTGACAGAAGGGGACAGAAAGAAATATTTTGGGGCTACTTTGCCTTACTCTCGGCAGCCTATGTTGAATTTTTAGGAGACTTCCTTCGACAACTTCATTTAGAAGTCTTCATCTGAGAGCACAGAAAAAACAATATGGGCCCATTAAAGAGAGCTACCTAATGAAGAATCTGCAGTGCTAGGGCCAGAAAAGCTTCTCTGTGGAGAGGACAGACATATGATCTGCTAAAGGGATTCATGCATCTTCATCTGGAGAATGCAGTGTTAGAGTATCCAGCTGGAGAATCCAGCCAGGATGCTGTCAGAGTCTGGATGCTGGGGCAGAACCTCCTACACTTTTCTGAAAGTCCCAGCTGAAGAGTCTGGAGACTTCACTAAGCTTTTCAGTACAAAGAGCTCTGTCTACAGCAGAAACCTTTACCAAAAAGCTTTTGGAAAAAAAAAAAAATCACACTATAGTGCAGAAATGTAAACACTCATTCTGCACTAACTACATTTTAAAACTTCTAGAAATGGTTACAGATCCAATAATGGAAGACTATAAAATGCAGCATCTACTGTTTACAATGAAAAGTGTCCTTCAATAAAGGAATCACAGATCACAAATGCAGAAGGGAAAAGATCTCTCCATTCATTTCTGCTTCTTGTCAATGTAATCACACACACACATACACACACATGCATATCTGGTTTTTTTCCTATCTCAACTTTGAGTGTTAACCTGTAACTCTCTTCTCTCTTTTCCTGGTGATTTTCCCATCCTTCTCACTCCCACAGAACTGCAGAAAATTCACACAATAGGACACACTAGGACTACTCTACACCCAATGCCACTTGATGCCGATTTTTGTGAAGACAAACTGTATGTTTTTAACTTTACTATCGATTCCAAAGTAACCTACCCCAAAGCCTACCTTTTAACGTTTCACTTTCCCTGATAAGGAAAGCTCCAGGACTATTTCCAGGAGCCAGGAGCTGTCTTTCAGCATCTTTTCGGGTTATGTCTTTGAAGAACCATCTGAAAAATATTTCAAAGACTTAGAACCGTTTTTTTCCCCACCCACAAAGAGTACACCACCAAGGTGAATATGAAATTTGCCAGCGTTTAGAGCCTGGGAGAACTTACTCTTCGGTTTCCAAAGTGTTTACTTTTGCTACATAGTTGCTGGGAATGAAGCCTTCCTTCCTCGTTGTCAGAGATTTCGCTCTCCACCATTCCCCCTGCCTGAAAATCAGAAACAACAGTAGTATTCACAGGAAAGGAGAATGATAAAGTGTTATTTGAGTTATACTGTGCTGAGATCTTTGCTGGTGCTGGAGAGACAAGTAGCATCTTTCCTCTGAACTCAAGCTCCCTGAGAAGCCATTGGCTCCGTCGGGTCAATGTTTGGTTGCTGTTACCAAGGGCAGCTGCCCAGTGCGACCAACAGCTCCACATGCATTTGTATTTTCACAGGTAAGGGAGCTCTCTTACCATTCATACGCTCATGTTATGAGTAGGATATCAAAAAATTATAAAGACGATTAGAGGAGTCCAAAGAAAAACTACAATACGATCAGTACTGTCATACTTACTCCTCAATAACTTTCAATTTTTCTCCTTTTTTGAAGGACAAGTCATCTTCATGAATGCCATCATAGGGATATAAAGCTACTACAGTGACTCCATGCTCCTCTGTCTCTACAAAGACAGAAAGCCAAAGGCACATTCACATTATTTCACAGGCTGACACGGGATAGCACACAGCAGTAAGAGTCCTATGAAAACATACCTTCAGTGGCAAACCTTTGTCCTGGTAAGAGCTGTGCTTCTGGATTCACCTACAATAAAATACATCTTTAATTAAGCAGTTTTAGATCTTTGTGACAATCTTACGTTGCTATTACATATTGTTCAGTTGCTTTGGTATCACCTTACATGTCTTAAATTAAAAGAAAATGCTCCAATCTTTTCCCACCGTTCTTCAAAAGAGAATTATAACATTAAAACATAGTGAGTCCCCACTAGATCTTGAATTGAGCAGCCGAGACCTCAGGAAGGTGTGGCACAAGCTGTGGGAAGGCAGTTCACAGCTTTGTGACTTCTGCTGAAGAGGCTTTAGAGAGGGGTCTCTAACAGGACAGTCACTAGCATGCCACTGTCATGCTAAAGAATGACGAGCACAGCTATGTCGCTACTATGGTGCAAGAAAAAAAGAGTTGGTTTTTTTTTTTAAAAAAAAAGGTAGTTTGTGACAGGTGTACGTCGACTGAGAGCACACCAAGTCTGCCGTGTCAGCTGGTGAGAGGGGAGGGAAGGGTGTCCTCCCCACCCATGGAGAGCACAGCCCCTGGGCGAGGGCGGACAGGAAACATGGCGTCCTCAGCACAGCGCGTGTGTCGGGGGAAGGTACCACTCAATCTGTGAGACAGCAAACCCACTTGGCACCCGACGGGATTGCCCTTCCCAGCACCCTTCCTTTCCAACACCAGGCAGCACACACGGAGCAGCCGTTAGCATCTTCCTGCTGCGGCGATCCCTCGGCTGCTGCCCCATTCCCGCCCTTCCAGACCCACCTCGGGCATGGGTGGGCAGTGGCCTTCAGGGAGTAAAAGGAAAGTTGACTAGAGCTGGTAAAGAATTGCCCATGATTACCTCAGCCTTTTTACACAGAATAATCAACAGCTGGATCCGACGGCTGTTAAAAACCCAACACCGACGGTTTTAAAACCAGTTCTAAACAGGTTTTCTAAAGTCACTTGGCATTATTCTACAGCCGCAGCTATATCTAGATTCAGCACTGCCAAGGATTACTGTTTTCATGCAGAAAACTGACAAACATCAAGCAACAAACTGCCAATCACTATTTTTTATTTCTTTAAGTACATTGAGGGTGAACTGCACAACACTAAGACCCCAGTTGTGCACTAATGATCAATTTGAATTTCTTCATGCGTGTGCTTTGGACTGAAATTTAAGTCATGCCAGTCATGTTTTGGTCTTGCTACTGGAATTCTCCCCTGAGACTATCTACTTACTGGCCTTTGCTGTTTATTGGACGTTGGATCCCTCACATAAATAGTTCGTTCAGTTTTACGTACTGGTTGATTCTTCAAATCTAGCCCATCTCCATGCAGATTCTCTTTCCTTTTTGATTTTATACATCCCATATTTCCTGTTGGAATAAAAAAGGTATTAAACAAAAAACACTATGCCACCAACCAAGCCGTTTCCCGTGCAATCATCTGGGCTATGCAGCGAAAACATGCTTTCTTTTCATACGCAATAGCTCTTGGGTAGAAAAACGGAAGGTTAGGAACACACACTGAAAGCTCTTTTCTGCAGCAAAGGAAAAAGAGGACTTCTTGTCTCAATCTACAGATGAAGCAAATATTTCAAAATAGTTATTTACCATTTCAACATTTTCAGATTTACCATCTTTTCTTACCAATCTCTCCCTACCCCAAAACCCCTTACATCCTTCTGATACTTCTGTGAGCTTCAGAATACATATAAGAAAAATATAAATACTGTAGTGACAACTTATTTCTGTACGTTTTAGAGAAAAGGCTGCTTTGAAAGATGTATGAAAAAATTCCAGTCCAAATGATGAGAACTGCAGCTGGAGTTAGCAATGCCTGTATCTCCCTGCTTCATTTTGCATATGCCAGTCTAACAGGGAACTCAGTTTGATTTAAATCTCCATCTCACAGGAGGCCGATGACTTCTGCAGTCCCAGCTCCATGGCAGATACGCTGCTATTGTGACCTTCAGTAATGAATCTCCGTGTTCAAACAGGCCTGTTACAGCAGTCTGAAATAGCCAATGTGTGTATTGGTGATGGCAAATCAGCACAATAGCATTTCTTCTTCAATACAGTCTAGAAGGCTAATCCTTCTCTCAGGATGTGCATCCATGCTAAACCAGATGAGATACAGCTGTTAGCATCTACATGACTGGAACCCGACTGCTAATCCCGTGATGTAATCACACAGTACTTCAGCAAGCACATATACAACACTATCTCTATATTCTGTCCTCAGAGGAGAGTATTTATACTTACTCTTCAAAGAATCCACTAGGAATGCTTTTCAAACCTCTCCTTGCTTCCTCTCTCCCTCCTTTCAGGTCAGTGCTCTAATGCTAGGTTCACAGTCACATTTTCCCTTGCAGGCACACACTCGCACTCCCCCCCTGCCCTAATTAATCTTTAAAGCCAGTTCTTTGAAGAACAATGTAAAACCTAAAATAAGAGCTCAGTGCATATACAGGCTTAGGCAAACCAGCACTGAGTAAAACACAGCTGGAGAAGCTAAAGTAGATTATTACAGCCTATTCTGCATCTCACTTTCACCTTCATCCCTAGGACAGAAAAGGTCATCAAAGTAAACAGTTAAAGCAGTAGAAATGTTCACTTGCAGACACAACTGTCTCAATGCCATGGTGCCTTACACATCCTACCCCAGCAGACAGGAGAATTAGCCAGACTGGTCTGGGTCCATATCAAGATTTGTACTTTTGTAACAATACTGATAATAATCATAATCCTAACTGCCTATGACAATAAACCAAGACTCCCACATGGCAAGTCTCAACTTCCCATGTCACCTTCATTTAATCTTCCATCTTGCTGTTGAGGAAGCACCACATAATGATAGATGCACTGTCCTGTCCATAGACTGAATGTTTTCTTCTAAACATGAGAAGGTATCTCCTCTCCTACCATTTCTGCAAATTATCTGCCACCTATTGCCAACAAATCTCCAGTGTCCACAAAATTTTAGCAGTGATGCAGTGAACTGTGATACAGGCTTAAAAGCAGCATGAGAACTCATTGCTCCTCTTCTCATCTTCTTTTGAATTAAAAATAAAAGGAATGACACAGAAATTCCATAGGCACTGATCAGGCATCACCATACCACAGAGGCAGAGAATACAGTTTCCTTTTCTTATGTATCAACATTTCAGTGTTTCTGAACTTGTTTGAAGGCACTGAGAGGCACCTTTAGCCAGAATCTCCTCTTAGAAGCATGAATCTTTAACGCTTAAATTTAGTTTGTGAGAACACCCATTGGGAGATTTTTCCAAATTCTCAGGCCTACACAGGTTACATATTAGTTGTTTGGAAACACTGAAAAGGATTTGTTTTTAAAAAATGCATTTATTTATTTATAATTGTGGATATATGGATGACTCTTGTTCTGCAGTTAATGGTTCATAGGAAATTTCTGTACACCCACAGGCAGGCTGGTGTTTGCATGCTCACCCCAGATGACAGGAAGCCCAGCGTTTAATTACCTGCTGTATCTGCAAGATCAGGTATTTAGCCACCTAAGTGCTAACCTTTTGCTCTGCTTCTAGAGAACAAACAGCTATAGTGGAGGACATAAGGTAATTTGATCTAAATTGTCAGCCAAAAATCCCGTTCCCTATTGCTGTAAGAAAGCTGAAGATATCTTTAGAGACTGCAGCTTGCCCAGTGTTGGTGTAAACTCAGAGAAAAGCATTTTTACTGGGATACTTTTTCTGCAGCTTAAAGCACATGAGCAGCTGTAAGTTAAGCCTGCTGTGAGGTTGTGCTGGTAAGCTCAAGGTTAGCACTTGTTCGTGACAGTCACAACAATGGATCAGTAATGCCAATGTGCAGGTGCTCCATAATCCCACAGAAGTCCACTCCATGTTGTGTGAAATCACACAAATACGATATGTGAGATAACACATGTGATGGCACCCAATGTAGAGAAGATCCTGAGCCTCGTTATGAAGCACTGGGTTTTTTTCCCCATGGAGATGAAAACCCATAGTCCTCACAGGACTTCACCAGGTCTACGTTAGCAAATAGCCCCAACAGCTGGTGCTGAAGCCCATACCTGCTTCAAGAGAGGTTACAGCCCCATTCACGTCAGTATAGCCCCAAGGACTGAATGTTCAGTAAGAGCTAGACCACAGTGAGGGTTTATTTAAAGGTAAGCCCCATGCTGTATCTTCCTAAAGCAGTCCCATTCTTGCACTCTGAGTCTGCTCCACAACATGAACTACAGCTTAGCAACTGGGGGCAACTGCTTCAGGAATGGAATCCCGGTCCAACTAAAAACACTAATATAGACACATCCTGAGACTTTGAGCTTCTCCGTAAATCAAGCCTCTTAAATCTTGCAAAAGAAACATATGAAAAATATGCAATAACATAAAACGAATGTTTAACACTTAATAGATATCAATATAGTTAAGTATACAATATATAATTTACTATTCAATTTTCCAGCCTCACGTTACTGCTAAACAAGTACAGGCAGACAAAGGAGATAAAACATACACAAAAGTTGAAAAATAGTATTTTAAGCAGTAAAAGTGGATCAATGAGTACATATTCTGATGCTGTGAAACGAAAGATTTTTGACCTCTTCAAAGGCCGCAAGATCTGTTTCTGTACATGCTAGCCCTCTGTAAAGCTGTGTGCACTGGGTTCCAGACTGCACATTTAAAATGCCATAAGATCAGTTCTACAGCCAAAGCAAAGGTAACTGTCTTGGTTTCAAAAGCTTCTGCTCAGTGACTGCTCAGTTCATCTGCAATGGCAGATGTATTTGTTTCCAGTGCAGTATTATACATTTTTACTGAAATCTGATCTGGGTCTTTTCCAGGATTTTGAAAGTGGTATCAAAGATTCATAGGGCCAATATAAACAGCAGGCACTGACAGGAGAGTCACATTGTAATGGATTGCAAAATACAAAATGCTATATCATTACCAAAGTTAGCTTCACAAACGTTTGACCTTAGCAAATTACTCATACAAAAGTGAAACTTTGAAAAACAAAATATGTACGCAGTGTAAATCTTTCTTAGTTTATAGAGTAGTCATAAGGAAAATCTGAAGGGGGGAAGCTCATTCAGGCATAAATAAAATATCTCACTTGGTGTAAAATGTTTATTTGCATAAGTCTCTGTCGCTGTATCACAATGAGCATCAAGGAAGCGTTATGTCCATATATAAAGAAAAAAAGAACATGGTAAGCAAAGAGCAATGCAGAAAGTGCAGCATCGTTACAAACTATGTTATTGGTCGTCAGAGATAAAAATATTTTAGACATCAGAGGAAATGCTGCCAGTCTCTACTCAAGAGTTTCCCATTCCAACAGTTTTGCAATACAGGAGACACTTCTTTTCATCCATGCCTTTCATTTATTGTCCTGTCCACACCTCTAGACAGCAAAGATAAACATTTAATTAAAAGAAACTCTATGTAACATAGCTGCTAACTTTTATCAGTGGGTATCTAAAGAAGTAACAGCTTCTCTTTTAACAAAGAGCATATCATATTCCGTGGCTAAAAGGTAAGGACAGGTACTTGAGTTAACATCTGCAGCGTGGTGACAAGAACCTAAGTTCGAGCACCCCTCAAAAAGCCACAGGAGTACCTGAAAGCACCACCACACAGAGCCTCCACAGCAGGCTGTTCCACAGACACCCATTCTGATGTCTACAGAGGCATTCGCCTTGAACTTTCCCTCTGAATCCCCTGTTTCATCTTTCTACAGCAGCACTTGGGTCTTAATTTCAAAACAGATTACGGGGGGCTAGCGCAACATTTTCCCAGAGTTAAAAGCTGCTATCTATCCTCAAACACTGTTGCTTTATCTGCCTTTGCTATATTACCAGCAGACTAATGTCTAAAGCCACAATACTTGCTACTGCAAGCAGTCAAGGTTCCTGTGACCATTGCCTGTCCATCCACCATGTGTTTGAGGTTTCATTTCCTCCCAGGGCTTATCCTTCATGTCATCGACAAAGCCAACCTCATTTTTCATTTTGCTCATGGTCACAATTATTGTCCTCCTTTTGATTCTGTTACATACAATATTTACGGTGCATATCAGAAATTATTTCCTAAAAATCTACCTGACACGTCTTTTTTTTGATTGAAGTCATGTCTTCAAAAAATTTATTCTTAAATCCTCACAGATCTGTCAAGAGTTTAGACTGGCTTCATTTTAATCTTTGCAGAACATGCAAACTTTAAAAAAACAACTAAAATAGATCATACTTTGGGTTTTCCAATGATAATGTAACTTTAAAAAGAATTAGAACTACAACATCGAGTGTACTAGAAACTCTATTTTATCAAACAAATATCTGTGGTTCAAAAGGTCAGTAACCACTGTATATAA